AAGTTCTTGATCAACTGAGATTTAATAAATTTAATTTCAATGCGTCTTTTAACTACTTTTAGTTTATTTAAATTTGAATTTATAACTGTGGAAGGATTGTTTAATCAATATTTTAATATAGATAAAATAGGGTTATGTTAGCTTAATGATATGACACATTAAATACTAAAGACCTTTTGAGAAGCCCATAGTGTAAGGAAATTAGCCATTACTCTTATTTACGGTAGATATCCTAGCTTAACCCCAAAAAAAAAAAAAAGTAATTTTATTACATTTGCAGGAATTTAGGAATGACGAAAGCTTTAGGGCTGAGGAAAGAAGAAAGATGAAGAAAATGACAAAAATTAATGTGATGTGAGAGGGTGTGAAAGAGCTATGGTATCCAGTTTCTCTCCCCTAATAACCTTCCCATATGCTGCCTTCCTCTGCTTTAATTTGAGCGACATCGTTTTGTGAAAAAATTGAAAGCTTTGTTTGGAAAACCCTAAAAAAACACTTTAACAAGTATTTTTATGTAGTGAAAAACAAAACTCTTTTCACATACTTATACAGCATAAAAACACTTAAAATGAGTTAAATCAAACTTTACATTAGTTAAATGAGTTATGTTATATTGGAGGTATTAAAAACTAGACCAATCAGTAATCTGGTCGAGATAGTGTTTCAATAGTCAGTGACTTAAATTGGAGTCAACTTGGGGTTAGACAAGTCATGATTAAAATATTCTTTTAAAATGATAAGAATAAAACTGAAAGCATTAAGATATAAAATATAATTATAAAAGAAATGTAAATAAGCATTTCCAACCAAAAAAAAAAAATAAGTAGACAACTATATAATTTCCATAATTAATAATTTTGTTGGAAAAAAAAACATAACATAATTTTATATTAGGAAAAAAATCCTCCATAGTCCATACCCTGCAGTTGGCACTAATGGAGTATATAATAATAACAACAATAATAATAATAATGAGTTTTAAATTTTAAAATGGCTTAGGACCTGAAAAAAGAAAACGTGGAAGGGTGAAAATGAGCTTCTGTCGAAAACTGTAAGATAAGACGACGTGACATATAACCATTGAATCATCTTCTTTTAATTAAAAGTAAATAAATTATAACCATCCATTTCAAATGAAGGGCTATATATGATACATTAACTTCTTAGTACATTACTTTCAATTCCAGGCTTTGAAATCTACAAATCTCGGGCTCTCTTGCAGATCTGGTTGGATTGAGAAAGTGGAAGAAATTAGGGAGGGGCTCTGGTGTTCACCACGAACAAAACAATGGCTCAAGATCGATGATTAGGCTAAGAGTTTGACTGGTTTTTCCTTTTTCTTAGTTCATTTTCGTCTCTCTCCATTCATTTAACTCTTCTTTTTTATTTTTCTGATGGTATCTTTTTTGTTTTAAATACCTGGCATTTCCAACACCTGGGAGCTTAAAAAATTGAATTGGTAACTCGTCTTATCTGGGTTACGACCGAGTCACTCCCGAGTCGCAGCGGGTTGTTTTCGCATTGGGATGGAGGCTTGACCGGACCAAGCAAGTAACTGGGCCGCTCGTTTTTGGGCCAACACAACCGGCCCGATCTGGTTATCAGTTTCACGCCCTTCTTCCTCCAGGATTGTGGGAAAGTGGAAGGTACTAATAGGAAAATGTTTCGCAGGGTTCCAACAAGAGAGGGTCACTGGGGGCAGTTAATCAACAAGCATAAAAGTCGTACATCTCATGCTTTTTAGCCTCAAAGCCGCAAATACTTCAAGCCTGAGCAGCATTTTCCATATTATAGATTGTTAAACAAAACATTAAACAAGTATTCATACCACTCATTTGTACTCCATTCTCGCATACTAGGAGTCTATTAAATTGATAAAATTTTTCATGTTTATCCTTATAAAAAAAGATCGGGTAAATATACAAAAATATCTATAAACTTATATTAAAAGTACACTCACCACGATAATTTTTTTAGAAGTACAAAAATATCCATAAACTTTAGAAATAGAAATAGGAGAAAAATGACATTTCGGTTAACGAGAGTTGAGAGTTAACATCCGTTTCTTTTCTCAGGCTTTTGCCAGCTGGTATTCAAGTGCAGCTTATAATGTGAAAGTACAAGAATATCCCCTACTAAAAAAGGTTAAAAACACCCTCTGGCATCTCCGAGGCTGGACGCCGGGCGGCTCTTACTGAAATAACGTCGGTCCATCTTCCTGTGCAGCACCAAGATAAAGAACGGCGAAAAACCAAAAAAGCATCTCAGAAGCCATTATATATATATATATATATATATATATAAAGAGAAAAAAAAATCCCCCTTCAGTAAAAGTCTATTTGGCTCGGCTCAATAAGAGGAAAAGAAGGGGAGGGATTTTAATGAAGGGAAGGAAAGAGGAGGAGAGTGAAAGGATTTTAATATTATCTTATTTAAATTTATAAAAATAGAAGGGAGGAGAGGATTTTTAATATTACTTTATTTGGTTCATGAGGGGAGGGAAGGAAAAAATATTTTGACATAGATAATTTTGCCCTTATTTTATTTAAGATTATTTTTTTCAAATTTTATAGAATGTTTAATAAAATAGAATTGTAAATAACATTTAATATATTGAAGAATACTTATACCAAAATTCCAATATATTCTAGAGCGTGAAGTATTATTGAAAAGAAGACTGAAGTAATATTTAGCCATAATTTGTACTGTATCCTATCTTTGAATGAAATATTTAGTCAAACAAATAAACTCATTAGACATGGGACTTCGTTTTCATCTATTTTTATCTTTATGGCTACAAAGCTTTGAGGATGTAAATTTTGACATATAAAATTATATATGTCAAAATTTAAATCCTCAAAACTTTATTCATTGAATTGTTCATTTTATCTTTTCAAATTTTACATTTACATGCAAAAAAGAGAGCAGCATCTGAAAACAAGAAAAATATAATTTAGGATAGTATAGAGATATTAAAAATAAATATGGACATAATAGTCACAACATGACAAAATATTATCCTTTTTCTCCAAATCCTCCCAATTTTAGAGGGGAGGTTGAGGAGGAGAGGGGAGAAAAATTTTAAAATTTTTTTTCCTTTCCTGCTAAAATTTATTTGTTGCTAAACAAGAAAAAATAATTAAAATGCACTCATACCAAACGCACTCTCAGTTTCTCAACAAGCGTCAGCAAAATACTGGAGCAAGAAAGTAGTAACAGCATCTAAGGAATAAAGGAATAATCAAAGAACTTTTGAAAGCCCGAGAGTATTTTGGATGAGTGAAGATGAAATCCAGTTATCACTCTATCCATAACCTTTGATTGAATATTTTCAAGAGTTATGACTCTCGGATAAATAGATGATTCATCCAGATAAAAGAAAGGATAGAGCGATGACGAGAAAAATGGGTTTTGCAAACTGAAATCAATTTTGACAAATGAAGAACTAAAATAGATGTTAGTTCTCTCAAAATCCTCCTGTTCAAGTCATTCATGGATCAGACCAGTATATTGCTCTTGTTCCGGCTCTCATTGTTTGGCTTATCAGATGAAGGCTCTGGTAAAGGAATATGGAATAGAAAAAACAAGGACAGGAAGAGTGTGCGGAAAATGAGTACCGTGATTTAGATATGAATCCTGGGAGATGTTTCCTTTGGAAAACACTTGAATGATGATGAGGACGCCGATCCATTGATGAAGAGCAAATTTGCTTACTCGGTTCAGATACGAGCCTAAAAATCTCATAATTTCTCGAATTATTTTGGAACGTTAAACGTGAGCCTAGTTTGGACGGGTTCATTACCGGCAGCCGATGCTTGGATCTGGTTCAAACGTGGGAGAGTTGCCAGATGAAGGGTAGAGGGATCGAGAGAGAAAGAAGGACCGAGAGACATTTTTAGTCAAACTCTCCCTCCCTAACAGTCAACATAACAGGGATTGACCGAGGCGTTATTTTTGCTCCCATTTTTGAAGTTTATAAGTACTTTTATACATTCAAAAAAGTTATAGTATTGACGGTAGATGCACTTTTGATATAAGTTCATAGATACTTTTATATATTCATCTAAAAAAATATTAAAGAAAAAAATATGTTATGCATTTTGTCTCACATGTTTCTTTTATTGTGTTCAACAGAGTTAAATTTTTTATGTTGCAGCAGGCAGCTTAATCTTTCCTGGGCTTTATCATGTTTTTTCCCCTGGTCTTCTTCTCAGTTCTAAGTTGCAGCAGGTAGCTTAATCTTTTCCACATCTTTTGTACCCCACACACACACACAAGTTCAGCCATTCGGAGAATAAGTTTTTTGATTTAGATATAGAAAACCATGAAGAAGATTAAAAACAAGACTAAAGCACAAGCACAGACAGAGAGCAGTAGTTTCATTTTGTATATCACAATATTCATTTCACACAACATATGGTACTTCTAATTTATTACTAAAAATTAAATAAATTAGTTGAACTGATTGTTTGTAATAAATGTGTTGATTTTTTTAAATTACTTTTTTTTATAATGTGTAGTTCGGACTACTTTTTCGTAGGAATCCCTTACAATAAATAGGAATGTTATTTAAAAAAAAAGATAAAATAAATTGAGGTACCATATTTAGAATCAAATTTAACTTTCTAGTTAACTCTTTTTTTTTCCGATGTAACTGGCTTTTATATTAAGGAGTAAAGACAGTATTACATTAATTTATTATAATCTCCCCTAGCTTACGTTTTTTCTGCAGTATTGGGCATAGAGAGAGGGGGGGGGGGGAAACTGTTTCTAATAGTATATCTTTCAAAAAATCTTTAAAGACTAAGCATCAATTACTAAAAGGGAGACCCGCAAATACTAAACTATTCAACCTACAACGCTACAAACATAACCCTGACGGCAAAATTATTTAGTGTTTTTTTCTTTAGAAACAAAACGAAGCTGTAAATTATTATGCCGGTTATTATGTAATAAAATACCTATGATATGACTTAAACGTAGCAACCCACCAAGAGAGGTACGGGACCCCCCCCCCCCCCCAAAGAAAAAAGAGGCGCATGCCACTTGAACGAGTACACAGTATTCTTTAGTAAAAGGAAAAAGAACAGTTCGCTCTGTGCTCAGTGCGTGGCTAACATTGGCCTGCTTTCTCCTTTATATGCTTTTGTTATGCGAACTATATGCCTTTAAACTTGCAGTATGCCTATATTTTAACGTACCAAAGTGTATTCGGTTTCTCTTTATGTCCGAAAAAAATCATATAAATGAACACACAAATCATACTTTGTATAGAACATAAAAACTTAAACAGTTCGATTGAATGCTAGCAATGAAGATTATTGAAAGTAAAATTATATTACATATAGCTATAGGTTTTTACTTGGATCACAAAATATTAACTATCGAGGATGATCCTACATACAACAAGCCAAAAAAGTTACAAATCCTGCAAGAAACACGACAGTGCGTTAAGCATTCAGAAAATATTTTTAATGTGTTTAGAAAGAAACATGATTACTTTACATGATTACCTATCAATATATTGGTGAGGTACCTTGCCAATGGCCACCATGGTTTGGACCCTGTCTGTAATTTTTCTTATAAATGTGTAGTAGGTTTGCCTCCAAATGCGATTAAAGAGTAAAGGCCCAAGGAAGGCCCTAAATCCAAAAGCAAACCCAAATCCCAAGCTCAAGTAAAATTCTTGGGTGAAATGCGAGTGAAATTGTTTTAGAATGCTTGGAGCTGCCCTCTGTGCTGTAGTCATCAAGAATCCATTGTCTCTTTTCTTGGGAGTTATATCTTAATTTCTCATTGCTATTAGATTGGCTGTAGGCAATAGTACTGCTAGTAGTAAGATTTGTTATCATTCATATCCCAGCCTGTTTCATACAATTCAGGTGGACCATCATGTTGGGATCATGGGTCAGTACAACCCACGAAGTCCGCTTTGCTATTCTCCAAATCTATAAGATTTTAAATTTAAATGCTAATATTTCAGGTCCTTCATAATATTGCAATTACGAAATCCTTCCAAGATGGTTCCTTGAATCCCCAGAAGTTGCTTGAAGTGCTTAATTGCGTGAAGGTAAGCTATCTCCTCCTCTTCTTCCTCATTTTCTTCATTCTCTCCTTGTGCTTTACTTGGAAGTGTTGGCTTTGTTGTCATTTTCTTTTTTATTTTTCCATATTTTTCTTTTTGGGTTGGTTGGCTCGCCAGTGACATTAATTTGTTTCTTTTCTTTTTTAGTTTGGGATGTTAGGATTTTTCCCCTGGGGAAAAGTGAGTTTTAACAGTGGTTTTATTTTGTGGTTTTCCTAGCACCAGGTGAGAAAGGGTATATAATTATGTTTATGTCATTACCAAATTAAAATTGATAACGACAAATTAATATGGTGATAGCTTTGGGTTAAATTTTCAATTCTGCAAACTCAAAAATGGGCCTGCTCAGAATATCAGCAGTCTATCAGCCTTTACGCAATCTGCAGGTGAATGCATTTTTCTTTTTGTTTTGGGCAGGAAGCTTTGAAATTTCTGTACAGGAACTTGGTTGAAAATGGGAGGATGCATGTCTAAAATTTTACCATATACCTTGGTCTAAATTGATCTTAATTAGCTGGCTGCTTCACATGACTGTAAATCTTAGACTTGGAGTAGACTTCTTTCGTTTGAATAGGAGAGCTGTAGAGATGGGAAAATTCTAATATCCGGTTGGCTGATGTACATAAGTATTTATGCCAACCATTAACTATTAAATTCTCTCTTATGTGGTTTTTAGTTTTATGATATACTCCCTTCGTTCCTTATTATAAGAGACATTTGATGCTTATAGCATGTTTTTATATATAAGAGACACTTAAAAGTTGTCTATACTTTTTTGTGTTGATTTCCTATTTTACCTATATTTATTGTCTCCAACTCACTCTCTCTCCTTCTCACTTTTCTTTCTTTCAATAATTTAATTGTTTTCTCTCATGCTTTCTCTCCTTAGTAATGAAGGCATTTTTGAGAAAAAAAAATTATATTTTTTACACATTGATTGTTCTTAACTAATTTTAACTGTTTTTTTTATTAACGTAATTCGGTTATTCGTCTCTTATAATAAAGAACGGAGGGAGTAATATTTATGGATGGACATGCGCCTGTGCATACTGAGACCTGAATAATGTACTTTTAAGCTAGGGAACACGGCTGTACGGGGCTTGAGTATTATCTTTCTCATTGAATCTTGAATTGAATGATTGCAGAAGACAAGGTCCCAGAATATTGGTGACAATCTTTCTGCTCACACATCGAGTCTGTCAGGATATTGATGTCCATTTTGGTTTCCAATCTGCCCTCAAACTATGAATCAAATGAAGATTGGTTAATATTTAGGGTTTCGAAACTTGATTTGTCCTAATTTGCGCCATCTGCATTTTGTTTTGTTTCTTTGAAGTTTTACACGTATGCCTGCTGCTGCTTGATGCCAGCCTTGCTTGCCGTGATGCATCAAAATCAGCTGTAAGTTATATTTTATAATTAAACTAGTTCATTTGTTGAAGCCTTTGTCATTTATATATATATATATATATATATATTTTTTTCCCCCACAATTATTACCAGGGACTAGAAGTGTTATTAATGAGCTGTTGACCCTGACTTGTATATGTTAGGTGCTGTGGGTATATGAACATTTGAGTATTCAGTGAGACTGAGTTGTCATTTTTGAAATATACTGATATAAGTATCACTTATATACTTGTGAGTTTATTTTGTGTCCACTGTGTCAACGTCAAGCAAGCATACCAATTATAACGAGAGTAATCATTCATAAAAATGACAAACATATTTTAAACATTGTTCGGTATGGTATTTATAATTGTGTATAATATGGGTTATGAATATTCCCAGAGTTACTGTGAAGAAACAAAGGAATATGCTAGGAGAATTTTTCTTCACATTCCAGATTATGAGCATATTTTGATGGGATTTTGATAATCAGCTAAGTACGTTTGTTAGTAAAAATATTTTCTGGGCGTAAAATGAATGACGGCCTATAGAATTTTTTTTTTTTCCTATTTAGATTTTCAGAAGTGCGAAGTTCTGATGGTGGAATCTGTTTTATTGGGATGTTCTGTCTTATTTGGAAAGGGCATTTGGTGTTAGTAATGCGAGTCAAGGCGACAATGGAAACATGGCACAGCAACAATCTGCAAACCTAATCACCACGTCTTCATCAATCCCTTGTGGTCCATCAGCTGCAGGTACATCTAGTTCTGATCTGGGGCCAAGCGCAAATGCATCTGAAAATAATCTGTCTAGTGCTTTTTCTGAAGAGGCCCTCGATTATGAAGCCATGATACTGGATATTGGTGGACAGAATTTAAGCAGCCCAGCTGGTTTATCCTCAAATGATCGATCAAGGCCATTGATTGATGGGTTTTCTAACGTTGAGTTGAAGCTTAAATTCCAACTTTACACGGTTGAACTTTTGCTGCTAACCAGGAATTTGAAGCTAGCCAAACGTGAAGTGAAGCTCGCTATGAACATTGCACGCGGAAGAGATTCTTCAATGGCTCTTCTTTTGAAATCTCAGCTTGAATATGCTCGTCATAACCACCGCAGAGCAATCAAGCTATTGATGGTATCAAACAACAGGACAGACCCAGCATTTTCGAGCATTTTCCACAACTATCTTGGTTGCATTTACTATCAGCTTGGGAATACCAGACATCATCTTTGTTTTTCTCTAAGGCATTGACTAATTATTGTTCATCCCTTGGGAAGAACCAACTGCTAAAGCTGCCCACTTTCTCTCAGGATAACGCTCTTCTTATAGTATATAATTGTGGTATGCAGTACTTGGCTTGTGGAAAGCCATTACTTGCTGCTCGCTGTTTTCAGAAGTCTAGTATGGTCTTTTACAATAAGCCTTTCCTGTGGCTTCGGCTCGCTGAATGCTGTCTGATGGCTTTGGAAGAGGGCCTAATTAAATCAAGCCGTGTTTTACCAACAAGATTGGGAGTTGGAGTTCATGTTGTCGGGAAGGGAAAATGGAGGCAACTTGTACTGAACATTGAGATTCCAAGAAATGGATGTACAGAGTTGCTTGACAGAGATGATTGTCATCTCAAAAATGATGTGCAGCTGAATTTATCAATGTCTCTGGCCCTGCAGTTAAATGTCCTGTACTTGATCGATTCCAACAAGACGGATAATTTGAAGTCTGGCTTGCCTTTCAATTTGTTAAGTGACGAGAATCATTCAGGTGATGTGTCATCCAACAATTCAAATAATAAGAATTTACTCGGACTCGATTTCAAGGCGTTTTCATTAGCATTAAGCTTAAGGGCCTGTTTGGATAATATATAAAACCATGGTTTTGGGAGTCAAACCATGGTTTGGGTCTCAGACTTGCCAAACACCCAGAAAAAAAAGAAACCATGGTTTTGGATCAAAACCATGGTTTTAGAAGAAGTGAATTCATTCTGCTTCTGGTTCAAATGGGAGAGTATCATTGTGCCTGTAGAGTTGATCTTAATGATAATATAATTTTAACATTCCTCAATTATTTTTTTATAAACATATTTAATCTTATATTTTATAAATATATATATACATATTAATTATATTATTTTATATATTATTAATTATGTTGGTAAAAAAATATATTATTAACAATTTTATTTTTTCAAATTAAAATATATTACAAAATCTATCTTTTATGTAATTATCATATTAACTTATGCTTTTTTTTAGTAAAATTTGTATATATAAAAAGTTCTTCTGATAACAACTATCCAAACACTCTCATTTATCAGAATCACTTTTTCACAAAATCTATTATTCACAAAATCTATTTTTTCAAGAATCTATTTTCCAGAAACTATTCTCTAAACCATGATTTGATTTCATCCAAACACTCCCTAAGTCAGGCTCATTCAAAGGGGGACGTGAAAGAGCAAAAGGGAGGTACTAATCAGGAGGTCATTCAGAGCTCCCTGTCCTGTTATGAAGATATTTGCAGAAGAGAGAATTTATTGATTAAGCAGGTAGCTCTTGCTAACTTGGCATATGTGGAATTGGAATTAGACAACCCTGTTAAGGCACTGTCAGTTGCAACATCTCTTCTGGAACTTCCGGAATGCTC